TTCTCCGATTTTGGTAAACAATAATAAACAGTTTTCTCCGATTTTGGAGAAATTCAGTAGACAATTTACCCTAAATTTGGCAAAACTCTAAGTTTGAAGAAATCTATTCTACTATTTTTTTTCGATTCTTTACATTTTTTGAACTACATCAATATTCTAAGTTCGTGTGAGAACGTCTTTTTTTTGCTCTTCAATTTTGACCTTTTGGGACTGAAGGCTCCAATTTTCGAGGGTACCCTCCTCCTGCTTGGACCTCTTCGCGCCGTCCCTGGTAATTCTTTTAAACGTTTATCACGTGCACAAATTATTTCAGCTTTGTTTAATCGATTAAAACGAATAGGAGGTCGATAAACAAAAATAGATTTATTCTAAAATATTTATTTTTATTACTCATCAAATCAATTAAATAATAAACAAATTTCATTTGAATTACAGTATTCTTTATCATTGGGTAAAGGGTGTGAGTGTTGTTGTGGGTGTGTGAGTGTGGGTGTGATTTAATCAAAGACCCACACCCCACCCACACCCACTCACACCCTGTATTGACAGATAAAAGATCGAAGACGACCACATCTTCGATAATATCAACATCAAACGGTTGTTCATCCAACTCCTCTTCTACAATACATGCTAATGATTCATATGCATCATCGACCATGCTTTCAAATGTTTGATTTTGAACAGTACCAATTACGTTTAATGTTGGTACATAGTAAGCACCATTATAAATGCCATTTACTTCAATCATATATACTAATAATACATTATATTTGTTGTGAATATAATAAAGAAAAGAAGATGATACATCACTGGTTGAATCAGCAGCTGCCATACTGAATGTGAATAGAATTGAAGTGAATGGGAACGAATGAAAACAAGATATGAAGAGACGAATAAATGCACTTATCTATATATGTGTACGACAACCAATCATTATAAGATCATCCTTAAACCAATCAAAGAATAAAACCAACAATTTATTTATTTTTGTTACATATAAAGTGGAAATATTTCATGTTCTATTTTAATACTGTGATTTTTAAGTAAAATCTGAACATCAATTTGATCATCTGTAGATGTCTTTAATTGTTCAAAAGGATTGAGAAGAAGCTAAATGGACGATTAAGGTAAAATTTTCTATTTATATGATAACTTTGTTTGAAATTTTTAAGATCAAAACCATTGATTTCTTCTTGATCTACTGGTATATTTCTATTTCCAACTGAAGTACAATTCAATGATTCGGTACAGAAGACAACTTCTGTATCTGGTGGCACTTACATGATATTCTTGCCTTCTATATAGATAAATATTAACCGAATATGTAATATATTCGATACTTATTTCTAAACTCCATAATTACATTAAAACAGTTCTAGAAATAGCTTTGAATTCGAGTTAGAAAATATGATTATCCCAGAGAATGTACTGAGTTAAGGGTACCCGAAAAAGTACCCTGTTATCAGTATGTCACAGGAACTTTTGGGTACCAAAGTACTTGGAAGTACTTTCAGGTACCTAAGTGGTACTTTAACAAGTACCCTGCTACAAAATGTGTAGTAACTGGGTACTTGAAGGTACTGATCAGATACTCAATTGGGTACTATTGTATAGTATTTCTAGGTACCCTGTTACAAAAATTTCAGTAAGTTCAGGATCGAACCTGACCTTTAACTTTTTTAATTTTTGTTTCTCTCAAAGCAATTTACTACATTTTTTTTTTCGATTTTATTCAATTTAATTTTTTCAATTCCGAAAACTTAGCAGGGACAATCCCGGGATCTGACCCGACTTGAGTTGGTCAGGTATCCATCAGACTACTTCGGAGTAGTCCGCTCTTAATCTACGATCAAGATCGGCATGTTCTCGACTAAGAAATAGTCAAGAAATAATCTAGAAAAAATTAGTATGAAAATAGATTAATTTCTTATGTCTTACTCAGTTGTTTATATGGAGCCGTGCGTGAAAAAGAAAATGGTGAATGAATAGTCGCTACACAGAACGCAACAAATATAGGGTACCCTGTATAGCTTGCCTTAGTAAAATTACAGATGCGAGTACCCATACAAGTACTTCTTAAGTGAGCGTACTTTTATGGGAACCACACTCAGTACATACATCAGTATAACTACTGAGAATTTTTGAAGTACCCATATTGGGTATCCTGCTAGGCCTTTCTCAGTACATGGGTACCCTGAACTCAGTACTTTCTCTAGGGATAATATAGTGCCATGTAATTCTTCAATAGATGCAAATCAACCAATGAAAAAAAGCATACCATTGCAGATAGCATCTTTTTAGAATGAAAAAAAAATATCAACTAATCTTTGCAATCCTATCGGCACAGTGAATAGTCGCCGCGTCATACACTTATTACCTTTTCGCATTTAATCCCTATTGATTAACTGCAACAGATCAATATTTTTTTTCAACTTTCAACTTCCTCATTCATTTGCGTGTTTGCGAAAACAAACACTTTAGCTCAATCTTCTTATTTTTCTAACCAATTAAAGACAGTCATCCATTTTCTATTTTCTTCTTCCTTGATGTCTTTTTTTTTTTATAAAAATACATTATAAACCATTACAAAATACAGTCAAAAAGATTCCTTCAACTCAAAAAAAACCAGTTTCAATCGTTATATATTCGCTTTATTGTCTATTGCATACATCTTTCAGAAATTAACGATATCACATGATGCTATCCAATATTTTCCACAATCGTTCTTTTTTTCTTCTAAGTAAGTCTCACTACACACGATGAAAATGATGTTCAATATGACTAATGCAGCGACTGCTTGATGCGCATTAATTCTTCACACCTACATCGTAACTATTGCACTATAAATAGTAGTGGCGTGACCAGAAAAATCCCGGCGATTGGGCGCCGCCCTAAAAACCTTCAAAGTTATTTAGGATAGACCTTAGCTTTTTTATCAGCTCGTCCATTTTTATTCCTCGGTGGTTGGGTAACGATTTGTGGTTGGGCGCGGCCCAACCCTGCCCTACCTTGGTGACGCCACTAATAAATAGGAATGATCAAGTGGTATCATTTTATATCCTAATTTATAGAAAACAAAATATACCTTTTTTTAAAGAATTCACATATGCAAAAAAATGATATCTTTGAAATAAATCAAGCTATTTACAAAAGATTTCATCAATTTTTAATCGGAATTAATAATTGATAAGGAGAAACACGTTTGATTAACAATCATAAACGACTAAAATTATTTATATTATGTACATTTATCAATTATCTTACATCAGGTAGTTTTATGCAGAAAATATATTTACAAAAAAACGAATCTCAGATATTTATGTCTTATATGATCAGAATCCAATATAGAATATACGTAAATTTTATTGAAAAAATACTAAATAATATTAACTAATACATGCAATTCTAAACTTCAAGTAACATTTCCCAAAAAAATCACATCGATTAACATTTTGTTCTATTTTTTTCAAAAGACATAACTTCTTAGATCATAACACATGAAACAGAGCATTCGCACGCTGTTTTGAGTCTTTTTCTAACTTAAATAAAGTTTGTGTCCACGAAGATCTCTTTCTGTATGAATATATGTATTAGAAAGAGTGCCATTTGAACGAAAATATCGGATCATGCAAACTTTATATTCATGCTCAATTAATGTAAATATTTTTCGCCTCTATCATCAGAGTATGATCTGTTGAAACGCATTTAACAATTTTCAATGAAAAAAACCAAACGTTGTAGATGTCAAAACGACGAAAATGAGCGTCGCTCACTTGCATTCGATATATTTTCTTTAGAAATACAACTTATATTTCACCTTTTCCAAAATAAAAAAAACCAGACAGTTCTATTTTATTCTTATTGCCATAAAACACTTCAGTAAAGATTGATTTTTGACTTATAATCGAAGAGAGCTTCATGACACTAATTATTTATATATGAAGATGATGCCTGAGAAAAGAACATAATATTTTTCTGTTGATGTATTTGATATTATACTTGTTTAGTTTATTGTTCCCTTAACGCATAGTAAAGAATGAATCTCGAGACAGAAGATCACATAAATCCATTTATCGCTTATCTT